AGTGGAGAAGAAGAAGCTATGCTGAAAGAAGATATGAAGCTAAGATAGATGATTCTTTAGAGTAATTGGAAAAAAAAAAAAGGCCAAAGTGCTTTTGTTATGTGGAATCGTATGGAGAATGTTGGATGTTGATACAACAAAGATATGCTTTTTTTGTGCATGCCACTCTTTTGTTAGTAGTATATGATAATATTATGCATATATTCTTTTGGAAATGCACTTGAATTTTATTTTTGTGGAAGACAAATGGAATTGCACATGGATAGAATTGTAAATGACTAGTAAATAATTTCTAATGAATCAAACCATCCTTTGGTGGTGTTTAAATTTGTATATTTATTTGCATGCTAATTGCTATTTATATGGTTAATGGATTCACTAGCACCATTTGTTGTGTGTACTTCTACAACCAAGAAGAGAGAATTTTTATGGAGCATAGAACCTAAATGGATAAATGGATTATTACAAATAATGTGCGAGTGTGTCGATGCATAAGGGCTTATTTTTTCGAAGAAAGATCGATGATTTATGCTACAAAACAAGCTGAGGAAAAAGGGTCAGTGGCATTGGTGGAGAAGAGGGGCTTAGAACATGAAGCTAGGAATTCCAAATTTGAACAAAAAATGGAGGGATGTTGCAGGTTGGGTGAATTAAGCTGAAATATAAATTTTTGGCAATAGTTTAAACCGCTGCTAGTTGCAGCTATTCAACAAACATCTATTATTTTTATTTTTTTTCAAACCGGTGTTATTATGTGTTGCATTAGCCAATGAATTTTAGTAGTGTCTATTACATGGCCTATATTGATTCCTCTTATTATAAATCATTCTTTCAATATTTAAGTATCATAATGATATCATAATTTACCAATTCTGAACCAGTTGGAGTTGCCTCATCAAGAAGCTGCATTTGACTATATGCAAGGAAGATTTTAAGACCATTGATCACCCAATTATAGAGTTGGGTTGGATTGGATCGGCTTATTAGTGGATGGGTTCATCTCATTGAGACATTCAATTCAATTATAAATTTGCTTAAATCGGAGTTCAAATTATTCAGAATATAATTTCAAATGTGTTTAATTCAAGTATTACCCCTAGATTCATTCTATCGACTTTAAATCTCTTTATGTATAAATATATATAAAGCCTAGCCTTCATAAGATTTGGACTTCTAGGCTAGGGCTCTGAATTCTAATTTATTTATAATTATAATAAATTTACGTGTAAGTGGTAACACTCCTTCCCCTTTCCATGGCATTTTGTTGAATTTTATCCCCAAAAATATTATATATGCATTTGAGATGGACAGCCTAGCATGTAGGAAAATAGACTCTTATGACTTCAAAATCCTCAGCATGTATAACATAAAGAAATTTAGGTCTTTATGACTCCTAGTGCTAACATCAGATCTCATAATCACACATTTCAAGTAGATAAAAATATTTAATAATTGAATTTAGTAAAGAAATTTTAAATAAATTAACTTGGCAAAAATTTATAGTGTACTATATCGATAGCCTAAATTTTTAATAATTGAGCAAAATTTAATATTTAAAAATTTATCAGATTTCCAGAGATGATTCAGAGTGGCCTTTTGGAGCTTTTACTATACTACAAGCATATTTTTGGGATCAAAATTATTTTCTAATTTGATTAAAATAAAATATTTCTTAATTTTTTTAGTGAAAATTATTTAGAAAAGTACCAAGTAAAATCTATTATATCTACAACATACAGTCAATTACACTATGAAAGTTTTGGGGTACAAAGACGCTATGCTCATTTTCACTTTACAAATTTATAAATTTAATCAAAATATTTTATATTTTTAAAAATAAGAGAATTTCCTGAACTGAGATGATAGAAGGAAACGAACAAGAGTAGCCTAAAAAGAACTTTCACTCTCTAGATCTTTAAACAACTCTTAAGGATTAATTTAATTAAATAAGAGATAAGTGGATTTTGATATTTTTATAAAAATTAACCTTGTTCTGTTGTGCTCGACCTGGTAGCACTATATTGATCGGCGACAACACCATAACATTAGCCCTTATCAAAAAATTTGAAAGCTCAATGTCGCAACAACACTAATCCAGCCCTATGAAGCTCCTAAGAGAAAATTTTCAAATTTTATATGCATGCACATAGACCCCTAGAACCCACTAAGAATAGTTTTAGTCGCAAACATACATATAGAAAACTCACAAACAAATGTAGGAGGCATGAATATGAAAATTTCACTTTATTCCAATTAGACCGGGTCATAATATGTGCAGCTGCGTGTATCCACAACATATATTACAATCCTCCCCACCTCAAGAAAAATTATTCTTGACATTTGAAAACTTAGATCAAAGAAACAAATTAAGGTATAATTGTCTTATCTCAAACTACCTCTCCCAAGTGGTTTTGATTTCGCTCATGTACTTCCATTGCACCTTAATCATTATGATCTATTTATTTCTCAACTTCTGATATCATATCCTAATATCCTTTATGATTTCTCTATATAACTCAAATTTGGATGAACTTTAATTTCATCTTCTGATATATAGTTCTTAAAATCAGATATGTACTTCCTTAAAGATAACACATGAAATACATTGTTAGTATCAGACAAATGCTTTGGTATCGGTAACATTTAGGCAGTTTTCTATCTTTTCAATTATCTAAAATGGTTTTACATACAATGAACTGAACTTTTTCTCTTTTTCAAACTTGCTTTTGCCTTTCATTTCTCTGATCCTCACATATAAAAAATCTATAATTTGAAATTCAACAACTCAGTACTTTGCATCATAATACTATTTCTGCTTATCTTATATAGTTTTTAATCTACCCCTAATAAAGCTGATCGTTTTAGTGGCATCATCTACCTAACCTAGCTCAATGAGATTCCTTTCACCCACTTCCATCCAAGCAGTGGAGTTCTTCATTTCCTATCATATAGAGCTTTATTGGGGGTTATACCTATATTGAAAATTACGATTATAGGCAAATTTGATTAAAAGAATATGATCATCCTAATTATTATTAAAGTCTAAAACACATATTCATATATCTTCTAATATATGAATAGTCCTCTAAGATTGTCCGTTAGTCTATGGCTAAAAAGCCTTGCAAAAATACCTTTCCATACTCAAATCTTGCTTAATGACTATCCACAACGTGGAGGTAAATCTATCATCTCTATTAGAAATTATCACTCTCGATACTCCATGCAATCGAACAATCTCTTGCACATATATCCGTGTCAGTATCTTCTAAATCATTTGATTTAGGATTCGTTTTGTTGCAGACTAGAATATACGCGGCGATGGAATGAAAATATAGCGTCTTAGCAATGTATGTATATCCAACACACCAACAGATAATTAAGGGAGAGAAGCACCAGAAACTTTTTTACTTGGAAAACCCGAAAAGGGAAAAACCATGGGGCCTAGCCCCATATGATAAATTTCCACTTTATCTGGATTGGTTACAAAGTCTGATTTGCTCATTTACTTGGAGATGCTGGAAATACAACAAGTTAATAATAGACAAAAATCTGGCGATGATTGATGAACCAACCAAAATAAGGCAGTGGTTGGCAAAAGCTTTAGCGACGGTTCAGAGGAAAACTCGGGCGGTGGTTGACAGGAACTCCGGCAGTGGTCGGCAGGAACTCCGGCGTTTAGAAGGAGCCCCGGTGGTAGTTGGCAGGAACTCCGGCGGTGGTCGGCAGGAACCCCGGCGGTGGTCGACAGGAACCCAGGCGGTGGTCGGTAGGAACTCCGGCAGTGGTCTGCAGAAAACTCGACGGTGGTCGATAGTAGCCCCAGCGGAGGTCGACAGGAGCCACGACGTTGGTCGATTGGAGCTCCCGCGGTGGTCGGTGTCAAGAGAGTTCCCAAATTCCTTTCTTCCTTCTCCTCTTCTCCTCTTCTCCTATGAGAAGAGTGGGGGCTATTTATAATTTTTTTGAGAGTGGCATGGCTTATAAATATATAGAGGATCAAGGTCAAAATGGGAGTGATTTGAATGGACGGCTAATATCGATCCCCTTGATCATAGACCATTTATTGGTCAATTGGATGCCTTAACGAATTCAGAATTAAATGATCTTGGTCTCGTTGGATTCGTCTCGTCGAGTAGCTCGATTTGAATATAAGCATTCCACATTTGGAAACTGTTTGGTAATGTTTTGAACCTTCCGAATGTGCTTTGGGTCTTTGATTTGACTTGTTTGGGCTCGGATTGAGTCGAATTTGGTGTCGTTGGGCTCACATTTTTGAGACGTTCAGTTCGACTATATGTTTGCTGAAATCAGAATTCATATGATCTCCGATTTAATTTTTGAAGCTTACAACTCAATTTTGCTACGAGACTCGAGCCTGATTAAGATAATTTTTTTACTGATATATCAAGTTTGAAATGAGTGTAATCATAATTTGAAATTATTGTTTGAAAAATAATTGTTTAAAAATTATAATTATTACATATTAATGACTATGATTGTAAAATTTTAAAATAATAGTAAAATAAAATTGTGACTAAAACAAAATAATGAGAAAGCCATCAAACACACCCTCTAATTCATGGCAAATTATTGTGTCCAATGTCCGGTTTCGTCCGGACACCAATCCGGTGTCGCCACGTCAGCAAAATGTACAGGGACCCAATGTATTTGGGTAACGCGGCGTCACCGGATTTGATGCCCGGACATCCGGTGACCGGACGCAATAATTCTCACCCTAATTCATAGGTAGTTTTAAATTTATTCTTGTAATTAGAAACTATTTACATTTATAACGTAAATTTTTAACTATTTCTATATCTAACATCCAATTATTTTACTTTGCATAATACTTTAATATTTAAATACTATAAAAAATATCATCTCAATTATTGTAGTAACTAACAATTAATTTTTAAAATTTATAATTAAATCAATGAACGAAGAAGAGCACAAGAGTTTACATGGAAACTGCACTGGTAAACTTATAAACCCTTCCGCTGTTACTGTGAGCTTTTGATTTGACGACTAACCCTGAAATCCTCAGTCTTCCCTTCGCTCTTCGTCTGTCTCCTTACATGTCCTCCTTCCTCCAACCTCAATTCGGTGGTTGGTCGCAGCGAAATCCTTCCTCGATAACTGTAATCTCCGTCCCGACCGCCAGCCATTTCCACTCTCTCATTCCATGAATCAGCAATAGCAAGCTCCGAGTCCGAGCCGTAAGAATTCCGATTCCCGCTTCGGCCACCTCGCTTCCCGAAGCCACCGGCTATTTCGTCTTTCTCCATCCTGGAACCAGCAATGGCGAGGTCTGAGTACGATCGGTTAGAACCCCGATTCCCCCCGCGGCCACCGCGCCGACCAAAAACGCCATTTCGATTACCGCTGCGGCCGCCACGCTTTTCGAAGCCGCCGTCGTTCTCGTCTTTTTCCAGTCCGGAGTACGATTGGTAAGAACCCCGATTCCCGCCTCGGCCTCCACGGCCACGACGCCGATCAATGCCGCCGGCCATCTCGTGTCTCTGCATTCTCGAACTAGCAACTGCGAGTTCTGAGTGTGATTCATAAGAACCCTGATTTCGGTCGCCACCACCACGCTGACCAAAGTCGCTGACAGTCTCATCTCTTCCCATCCTCGAGCCATTAACTGCGAACTCCTTGTGAGATCCGTAAGAATTCCGATATCTTCCGCGGCCTCCGCGGCCACCACGCCGATCGAAGCTGCCGGCAATCTCGTGCTTCTCCATCCTTGAGCCAGCTTCCGCCTGTTTTGAATCCGAGACGCGAGAAACGCGAGAACTCCAATTCCGGCCCCGGCTACTGCGCCTACCAAAATCGCCTGACTTATCGCCTCCGTTCATACTTGAACCACCAAGCGCAAGATTGGATTCCGCTCCGGGCGAGTTACGATTCCTGCCATGCCGAGCGAATCGGTGAACCATCTTGTTTTCCGCTTTCCTCGATCCAGCAACAGCAAATTCCGAATCCGAGTAGTAAGATCCCAGATGCCCCTCAGCATCCCCATTTTCCTCTTCCACAGGAACCGATCGTTCACTTTCTAAAGAGCTCGAATCCGGCGACACCCTCACATGCCGTCGTGTCCCCATCCCACCCGCCCCCCTCTCGATGCAATCATCATACCGCCTAACCTTATCCCTCTCATCTCCACCGTCAGCAACCTCTCCGGCAATAACGCCATAGGGTTTCACGCTGTGGACTGCGTCCTTTGGAAAGAAACGAGCAGAGGTGAGATCATCTGGTGAGCGGAAGAGCCGGGGGCCATCCCTGTCGGACCACATGTCGAAGCCGTTAGGGCGCTGGAATCGGTCGGCAAGCGTCTTGACCTGCTCGTCTGCGGAGGCAGAGAAGAGAACGGGGGCGCGCTCCACGACTTCCCAGGGCCGCTCGAGCTCAGAAATAGCAGCCTTGAGCTCTGCGCGCTTCCGCATCTCGTAAAGCTGTCGCTCGCGGCACAACCGAGCTTTGAGCAGCTGCTTCGACTTCTTTGCCTGCATACGCTTCCACTGCCACTTGGATACGCCGCCAGGATAGGTGCGGGGGCCGCCACCCATGCGGATGGTGGCCAGCGAGGCGGTGTCGCCGGCAGCAGTAAGCGAGGAGGGAGCAATGGAAAAAGGGCAAAATAGATCGAGGCCGGTGAAAGCCCTACAAGAGGATATGGATCGATTGGAGGCTCTAGGGATTGCGAGGGATGCTGGGAAGATAATGGCCGACGGCATCCTTGTCAATTTGGAAGCTACGCGGGCGACAAACCCTAGGAATTTGATCTAGGGCAAGGCTCGAAGACGATGAACCGATAAAGATTTTGGTTTTGGGCTCGAGCTTGAGTTCTGTGGACAATAATGCAATCAGGAATCCACCGTTCTTTCCTCTATATTTACTTAACACTTTAATTTATGTTATTTACAATTTGACCACCAAAGTTTGTAAATATGTTGAGAAAAAAAATCATTTTGCAAATTGTGAGCACAAAAGCTGCAGCCAGGGTGTTCCTCTGCTGCTGGGAAGGGTTTGGAATCTTAGAATGAGGTGGATCATCAGGAGATGGCGAGGTTGGGTCTGCGGCCAAGTGGTCGACGGAAGAAATTCTTTCCATCTCATTCAGGCTCGAATCTCCTAACCGTCCCAAAAAAAATCAAGAGATGGATGACACCGATGATAAAAAGGCCAAGAGTACGATGAGTCCTAGATTTAAGGTTCAGAGCCACATGAACGTCCGATGGCAACTTGATGTAAGTCTTTTATATTTTATAATTAGAGTTGTGAATGAATCTAGCTTCGACAGCATTCATGATTTAGTTTGATTAAAGCTTGTTTATGATTATTTGATTTGCTAATTAAGAATAATTTTTAAACACTAAATTATTTAACAAATAAGTTTTAGTATATATTTGTTGGGCTTGTTTATGATGATAAATAATATTAAAATTCATAAATAAGTTTGATATATTACCTTAATACTTGGTAAGATATCTAATGAAGGCAAGCTCTTGCCCTAGTGGAGCTTTTCGCATAGAGCTTGACTAAGGAAACATGCATTATAGACAAGCTTATTTGAAAGAACTCCCCTCAACAAATCTCAGCTCAAGGAGATAAATGTCTCATGAGAACTCACCCAAAGAGAAGACTCACCATAGCCTTGGTTACTTACTCTTCTTAGAGGCCTCCCAGCGAAAATACAAGAGATGAATAGCTACCAATATTGTAGTAATACTCTCATCAATCATGAGAATCCCCAACTTAAATGAAGTCGCTCAAGGTCGGCGCTGGGAACAAAGAGACCATATGGAAACTTCTTGCCCTCTAGTGTTCGCTTTTTCTTTCTTGGACGCCGAGACGCATTGAATCGATCAATTGATGCTCTTGTTGATTCTATGTCCTGGTCTCTTGCTCTTCTTTGCGCAAGATGGCGGAACCGATATTTCCGACGACATATGCTCATTGAAGGCAACAAAAGTCACGCTAGAGATGGCTATCCACGTATATATAGAGTCTCATCTACTTCTCTATAACATTCAAAATCATATATTATTTATTATATCTTTGATTATAGCCTCTTATATAAATCTTCCAAATCTATAAATAAGGGGTTAAATTTTAGTTGAACAATATTCTATGCTTTTCTCACTATTCATACTGATATGTGAATGTCAAAATTCTTCTCCTACTTGCTCTATTTATCTAGCTATACTTGTTTGTAGGGTTAAAGTTTTTCCCCTAAATAACATGGATCTAACATCCTCTTAGGTGTGGCGAATATGAAATGATGATAGTGGTGGAAGTTGAGCACTGCGTGAAGTAGAACAACTACATCAGGAGAGGTTGGTTTACATGGAGAATTAGAATTATGCAACCAACAATGATTTTATGGAGATGGAGGGAAGACTTAGGAGAATAACCCTGGGACTTTTGTAGTGAGCTCAGAGATTGGTCCCAAAGACGATCTGTCATAACCCAATCTGACAAGGACAAGTCCTATCGTGTGAACCGTGACAAACAAATCTGAAGATTTAGTTTTGGAATATTTCTTCCAATATTCATTTTAAATAAAAAGCAAACTACATAGCTACTAAAATATCCTATTATTGAAAATAAACTTATCCATGATATTTCTTTTTTTTTTCATCAAAATGCATCTAATACATGACTAAAATAGAAGCTATAGAATAGAATAATAAACTAATCAAAATAATACAAAAATCAAAACAGAGAAATATTTATAAACTCATATCTGATCTTCAAATGTTAATCAACAAGCTCCCACCCTTTCCCAAATCCTAAAAATTAGTAGCAAAATCACAATGAGCTATAATAGCTCAGTAGGCCACAAAAATCAATTTAAATTTTCAAATACTTTTATTAAATATTTTGCTGAATATTTTAAAGCAATTAAATACAATCTAATAAATCAATGTATTAAGAAAAGTAATAAGTGCATAATAGCTGTCTTATTATTTAAATAATAATACTTAATAGATAAATATATTAAAATTCATATTATTGTGCATTTCATCTCAGTCCCAAACAAAATTTTAAAAGATTATGGCCTTTTTTAACTCTCTTTTGTGCTTATTGCACCAGAATTTGGCTTATAGCCATTAGAACATGCTTTACAAGTATTAGAATATTCTCTGATACATATAGAATTTTAAAAAAATCTGGCTCCTAATATCTCCCGGTAAATATAATTTAATCACGTATGCATAAATTTTATCACATTATAGTAGTTAAAGCTTACTTAAGCTCATATCCAATTTGCATAGTTTTGTATAACAATATAAAAAAAAAAATACTATTAATCTAAATTTATAATTTCAACACATAACCAAATTGTTAGAGATTTTATAAAATATTAATGTGATCTACCTTGATCTAGATAATTTTTTCAATTGGCCTAGCTGCTAAAAATGATCAAAAGAGGCTCAAAATTTTATTTTGGTTGCTTAATCAAAATGAATAGAATCCCAAATTTAATGTTTATTTAAAATTCTCTTAGTGGCCTAGCACTATGGTGCTATAATCTAAGTGTTGTGATGCTAGTTCAATTGTCAAATTTTAGAGCCTAGAGTGCTGTAATATCACTATTTAACGCCTGATACTATATCAGCATTGAGGTGTTCAAGCAGTAATATATATATATCAAGTATTAAAATACTCCCAAAGACATGAAAATATGTTCAAAACTCAAAATTCAAAATATTGCCTTTTTCCATATTAAGTTAGAATAGGTTGAATCATATGCTAAACCTAGAGGGTTCACAAGTCTCCCCTCAGAAAAATATCATCCTCAACATTTCAACACTCAAGTTTCATATCTCATAAACAGTTTTGGTTACAATAATCTCATCTCAACCTCTTTTTCTAAGTAGCCTCTTTGGCTGTCATGTCCTTTCATTGTACCTTGACCATTAGAATCTATTTACTCAAGTTCGTCATATCGTAGGCTAGAATCCACTCGAGTTCTTCCCTATAGCTTAGATTCATATGCACTTCAATTTTTTCAGTAGATATCATATTTCAAGAATTAGATATCCATTTCCTCAAAAGTGATACATGGAATAGATTATGAATTTTAGACATGTGATCTAGCAACTGTATGTTGTAGGCATATTTTTTTATCCTTGTAATAACCTTAAATGGTCTAATGTACCGTGGACTATTTTTTTTTTCCTTGCCATATCTTCTAATGCCTTTTATTACTATGATCTTTACATATATAAAATCTCCTACCTAAAATTTCGCAGCATGATGCTTAGCATCAAAATACTATCATTGACTATCTTGTACAACCTTCAATCTATCTTTAATCAAATGGATCTTTTTAGTAGCATCATCAACCAAGGCTAGTTCAATCAAATGTCTCTTTCCCACCTCTATCCAAGATAGCGGTGTATGAGACTTCTTATTATACAGAGCTTTGTATGGAGCCATACTTATACTTGACTGAAAATTATTATTGTAAGCAAACTCGATCAGAGGAATGTGGTCTTCCCAAATGCTCCCAAAATCAAGAATATAGAGTCATAGAAGATCTTCAACCATACGTATAGTTCTCTTAGACTACCCATCAGTTTGAGGAGGAAAAGTCATATTGAAACACAATTTTGTACTCAATCCGTGCTGAATACCCCTCTACAGTATGGAGGTAAACTCGATATACCTATGAAACTATAATCTTCAGCATCCCATATAGTCTGATAATCTCACGCCAATATACATGTGATAATCTATCTATAAAATCAGAATGTTATAATAGAATGGAATGGGTTAATTTTTTCATACGATCAACTACAAGCAAAATAGCATCATGTCCATGTCTCGACCTGAAAAACTCATAAAAAATTATATAATCACCTCTTGACATTTCCACTCAGGAATGGGTAATGACTCCATATGGCCTCCCGATTGCTAATGCTCTACTTTAACTTATTTATAAGCTTCATACTTTGATACAAAATTTATCACATCCTTCTTTAATCCAGACCACCAAAATATAACTTTCAAATCACTGTACATTTTACTACTTCCTAGGTGAATCATATAATTAAAATAATAAGCCTTATGCAAAATCTCTCGCCTCAAATCTCCAAAAATATCATTCATACTAAAAATCATACCAGAATTAGATATGTATAATTTAGATTTCTTACCAGATTAATCTAATCAATCAACTCTTGATACTTTACATATGACTTCTTAGCTTCCTAAATTTTTCTTACAAAGAAGATTGTATAATCGCCTGAGCCAATATACTAGAATTTCAATCAATAAAAAAAAAAATCACATCCAACTGTAATCTCTTC